GGTATAGTTCATTATGAAATTTCAGGGGTGAATGAGATAAAAGACCACTTGTGTAAAGAGGCCACTTTCATCAAGAGACCATCTGATTTAAAAGACCATCTCCATTATGAGACCACATGTGTTAGGAAATTACTTTCATTTAGAGACTACCTGTGTTAAAAGATCACTTTTATTTAGAGATAACTTTCATAAGAGACCATCTGGGTTAAGAGACCATTTCCATGAAGAGACCACCTGTGTTAAGAGACCACCTGTGTTAAGAGACCACCTGTGTTAAGAGACCATCTGTGTTAAGAGACCATTTTCATTAAGAGACCATCTGTGTTAAGAGCCACATGTGTTAAGAGACCACCTGTGTTAAGAGACCATTTTCATTAAGAGACCACCTGTGTATAGAGACCATTTTATTATCATCAATTGCATCTATATCACTATGGACCGAACCTGTTTTAAGAGACCACTTTTGGGACTCCAAGGGTGGTTCCTTAAAACAGGTTTGACTGTAAATTTCAATAATAGTCTTACTCTACCTATACAAATTTGTTTCACTACCTTTAGATGGCAATATTTTGGTACTGAAATACACAACAGGTACTGCGTTTTGTCTATCCAATCATGTGCTTAAGGTTTTTTTATTCTGTAATTTTCGTAGTAATCTGTCTAGCACTTGAATTCACCTAGCCTGCTCCAAGATTAAACGAACAATTTCCTTCTTATTTTTTTTATTACTGAGCTCATAAAATCAATTCTGTACTAAGATTGAAGAGTCATACAAATTAACACAAAATGTTATAGAATAACCTTCAAGGAATATTGGGAAGAAGGTTGGGCAGTAATTGAAGAAAGATTTCATCAAAATACTTTTGTTTTAAGTACACAGTTTAATTACACAGTTCAAATCTTCCAATGGCTTCCGACCATGACTTAGAATAAAAGTATTTATATTTCCAGGATTTTGTTTCTAATTACAGTTTTGTACCAAAAGCAATGCAAGACTTTCTCTTTGATGCAAGTAATTCCAAGACCTTCTCATAAGTTCTTAAAGTTCTTTTGTCATCTTCCTAGACAGGACTGCAATTTCAAAATTTTCAATTACATAATTTGTCATTGTAGCTGGTGATTATTTCCGTCATGCAAGTTTTCAATTTCATCACAACCCAAACTTTTAATGAATATGACTTATCTAATTTCCCACCTGGTGATTTAAAAGTTGCAATTCCACCTGATCGACCCCAAATTCCAAAATGGACTCTTCCCACCTTTGAAGTACACCATATAATTCTACTATCAGGGAAGATAGGTGCTAATTGATTTGTTAAACCCCAGAACAATATTGTTTACTAACACTGCCAGTGTAATAACGTGATGTCTCTAACTGAAAAATCTTAACTTTTTTTCCCCCAGCCTAATATCTGTGATTCACAGCAAAAATGTCAGATTTTCTTGTACCATTTATCAAAATTAATTATTTTCATTTTTTTTTGTTCATGTTGTCTTTATTCAATGCCTCTTCATTAGTGAAAAAACATGTCTTATTCGCCATTCAAGACTACAATAGTATACATGTATGCCTATAATTTGTGATTTCTGCAAAAAAAAAAAAAAATACTGTCAATCATAAAGTTGAGAAAGTAAAGTCACATTTTGAGAGGGATTTTCATAACAAATATACCAATGTTCGACTTTAAAAACCATCTGATCATTCATTTTGGGTCAAAATTTTAGAAATATCATCAGGGAATTCAGTTCTTTTAGACTTTCAGCTCTCTGAACAATAGGGTCTGTTTCGAAATGTTAAATATTAGGAAGATGATTGTATCACTACATGCGATATGACACGAAGAAATATGTAATATAAGAGAATCGTCAGGTTGGATGATATTTAGAGGAAGGTCATACACGACAGAAGCCGCTGCATGGAATATGCATGAAATATTAAATGTCCCATTGGTTTAAGTATTTATCCATGACTTCTGACAGGGGAGAAAGATATTTCATTTTATTCATCAGGAAACATAGCAAATATGTCATATTCTTTTCCATTTATTTATTTTTAGTGAGATCTCTCCCCCATAAAGCTAGCATTTTTCCACACAAGTCCCTGGGTTGGGTATAGCAGAAGATTCAAGTCCTTAGATGCATTGTTATGTATTGTCTTCAAAGGTGGAAAATACGGCCAGACATCTAAACATCTGTTATAAAAACCAATGTATAAGTCATTCACAGACACTGAACCTTCTCCAGACCGATTCATTTGGGGGGAGGCCCTATACTTGGCACGTTTACTGTATGTTAGACTCCCAAACTGTACACTATGACAACATCTTTAGATTTTTCAAACACAGTTTCGAAAATTAAAGCAAATTATCTGATCAATACAGAATATTACTGTGTACAAAGATCGTCTGTGTACCCCTTAAATAACCTCTTCATAAGAAATAGCCCAAAACTGTTGATTTCGGGACACAACTGATTCCACAGCCAGAAGTAGGTTCTCAATAGACCCGACAACATAAACACAAACTGATGTACCCAACCAGAGTTAAGTGTCTGGCAGGTTTCCTTTTCACGAATGAAGTCTTCCTGGTCCCTGGTGATTTTTTTCCTATTTCACATGGCACTAGGTTTTTATAATGTTTTTCCTATGGTAATAGAGTTTAGCATGGCTCTGATAAATAGGTCAAACAAAATTTTCAGTGTGGTAAAACGTATATAAACATTTACACATCAATATTGAATTAACTTTTTTTCCAAGAATTCAATCTCAAAATTTAAGAAAAAATCTTTGAAAATCTGTAACATTCTAATCTGATTTGGCTGGCCAAGAGGTATTTCAATCTATCTCTGAGTAAAACCCATTTGGGGCCAGACGTTTGACTGTGCAAATAGTGATGAATCTGTATCAGAACTCGTCCGCGCCTGCGGGGAGATCGGGACGCGTTGTTTATTAAATAAGGAGACAAATGTGTTGTAGGGACAGCGTCTAGGGAGGGTTTCTGGGGAAGGAGGGGTTCTTCGTGTGATTATCGTCTCTACAGAAATGATGCCGCTCCCTGATTCCGATCTCACGACATAACTAATTCATTAGCGCTGGTAATATAGTATGCGCAAGCCACTGTGCAACACCATTTGTAGACGGCTGTACACAGTGGAATCGGGAGGCATTTTAAATCGTGCTATATATTCCATTTTAAATCGTGCCATATATTCTGGTGAGTGCATAACATTTGAAGATTATACGACGAATACCTCTTCGTAACAATACCGAAAGTAGCCACAATCTGGTATGTAAACTTGTCCAAACTTTCATAGTTTACAAGTATGTCCATAACATTTCCTACCACCAACAAAACCAGACTTGTCCTAAATGACCCTGCATAGCTGTAAGTAGGGTGTCAAGCACACACACAAAAAAACCCATAAAATTACAGATATGTAAATGCTATCTTACCTATTCAAAGAGTTATCTCCCTTAAAACTATCCATCTAGTGTACCTTCCGAAGGGGTCACCAGTTAATCACTTTGCTTAGATTGAATGAGTTCAATTTGCACTAACATGAACAACATCAATTTGCACTAACATGAACAACGTCAATTTGCACTATTAGTAACATTATTTTGTCAAATAAAACTCATTTTCAGTAAATTTTAAGCTTTTTTGTTATACATTGCTACACAATACATGGTTCTTCCCCAGTTTAAAAAATATGAAAGGTTGGCAAGTTACAAGTTTCTCATCATGCAACGCTCTTAGAAAGTTGATGTAGACATCACAGTAAAGTGTCATATATCCTTAATTAAAACAAGCATCCTTCTTTCCACAAATGTGAAAGTGAAATGGCCTAGTACAAGCACATGATGTTCCATCACTTCAAAAGTCCTGGTGATATGATCTCAATATTCCTATCCTCCTCCCATGGTTAGAGAGTTCCACTTCCTGTCAACATAGGGTCATGGTTCAACAACTATATTTGAACCAATCAGGACTAGACCTTTAAAACAGCTTTCACCTATGATATTGAACCTGTCAATAGTTACACAGCAGTTGGCCCGGCTAGACAGAATTTACTACGGGTAAGATGAATGCATGGTGATCGACAAAAAAGTAAAACCAGTTAATAATTCTTAAATCATTAAATGACGAGCTTTTGTACATTCCTTATATTTATATGACAACAATAAAAAATATTTTTGCCTTTTTTAAAATTTAGTAATAATTTAAACTTGTAACCCATTCCCCCATAAAGTCACATACTTTGAACCTGACCAAATCAAAGAGTGGGCAAGTCCAGTTTAAATATGTAGGGGTGAACAAGTTAATATTCTAAACTCAAACCTCTCATGAACCACTTTTGCTAACCTTCTCTCTATAGCAACAAAAAAGGCCGTGAGCTTGGTCTATAGTATCTACAACCAATTCCATCCTCTTTGATGGGAAGTCCAGCATTGCTGTGGTGCCCGTCTGCCCTGACAAATCTAAACTGACACTTCCCTGTCCAGGGCTGCTACACCTCCCCTCTGCACATCACACATTTTTCACAGTTCATTGCAAACTGTGGGTTCACTAATGAACAAGTCATCACTGAAACAACATCGGGAATGTCACTAGTACAGTCAGCAACCAAGTCTTTCGACTCTCTCCGTAGTCTTTTGACTCTCTCCGTAGTCTTTCCACTCTCTCCATAGTCTTTCCACTCTCTCTGTAGTCTTTTAACTATCTCCGTAGTCTTTCCACTCTCTCCGTAGTCTTTCCACTCTCTCAGTAGTCTTTCCACTCTCTCCGTTGTATTTCAACTCTCTCTGTAGTCTTTCCACTCTCACCATAATATTTCCACTCTCTCAGTAGTCTTTCCACTCTCTCCGTTGTATTTCCACTCTCTCTGTAGTCTTTCCACTCTCTCCGTAGTCTTTCCACTCTCTCAGTAGTCTTTCCACTCTCTCCGTTGTATTTCAACTCTCTCTGTAGTCTTTCCACTCTCACCATAATATTTCCACTCTCTCAGTAGTCTTTCCACTCTCTCCGTTGTATTTCCACTCTCTCTGTAGTCTTTCCACTCTCTCCGTAGTCTTTCCACTCTCTCAGTAGTCTTTCCACTCTCTCCGTTGTATTTCCACTCTCTCTGTAGTCTTTCCACTCTCTCTGTAGTCTTTTCACTCTCTCTGTAGTCTTTCCACTCTCTCTGTAGTCTTTCCACTCTCTCTGTAGTCTTTCCACTCTCTCTGTAGTATTTCCACTCTCTCTGTAGTCTTTCGACTCTCTCTGTAGTATTTCCACTCTCTCTGTAGTATTTCCACTCTCTCCGTAGTCTTTCCACTCTCTCTGTAGTCTTTCCACTCTCTCCGTATTCTCTCCGTAGTCTTTCCACTCTCTCTGTAGTATTTCCACTCTCTCTGTAGTATTTCCACTCTCTCTGTAGTCTTTCCACTCTCTCTGTAGTATTTCTACTCTCTGTAGTATTTCCACTCTCTCTGTAGTCTTTCCACTCTCTGTAGTCTTTCCACTCTCTCTGTAGTCTTTCCACTCTCTCTGTAGACTTTCCATTCTCTCTGTAGTCTTTCCACTCTCTGTAGTCTTTCCACTCTCTCTGTAGTCTTTCCACTCTTTCTGTAGACTTTCCACTCTCTCTGTAGTCTTTCCACTCTCTCCATAGTCTTTCCACTCTCTCTGTAGTCTTTCCACTCTCTCTGTAGTTTTTCGACTCTCTCTTTGGTATTTCCACTCTCTCCGTAGTCTTTCCACTCTCTCTGTAGTCTTTCCACTCTCTCTGTAGTATTTCCACTCTCCCTGTAGTCTTTCCACTCTCTCCGTATTCTCTCTGTAGTCTTTCCACTCTCTCTGTAGTATTTCCACTCTCTCTGTAGTCTTTCCACTCTCTCTGTACTCTCTCCGTAGTCTTTCCACTCTCTCTGTAGTCTTTCCACTCTCTCTGCAGTCTTTACACTCTCTCCATAGACTTTCCACTCTGTCTGTAGTCTTTACACTCTCTCCGTAGACTTTCCACTCTCTTTGTAGTCTTTACACTCTCTCGGTTGACTTTCCACTCTCTCTGTAGTCTTTCCACTCTCTCCGTAGTCTTTCAACTCTGTCCGGAGTCTTTCCACTCTGCTCTCTCCAACTTGTATGTGTAGCTCAGAAATCCTTTTCTAGTTATAATCATGGAGGTATTTTGTTGATCTGAATATCAACAATTAATTGAATTGAGGATTAATTGAATTAACATGAAATCTACAATACTATCAGGCAACTTAAGAAAATAAAGATAATTTAAAGATAATTTTAATTAGGTAATAAAGGATGATATATTTTTAGAACAAACATATAGCAGTATATATACCTTCTTTCAAAAATGTATACAGACTACCTGCCATACTGATAATCAGAAAGAAAACGAAAGAAAAATAAAAAAAAATTCCCCTCACCACTCCCCCAAAAAAATATAAAAAAATACATAAAATGATTTCATATCACACAGATGGTTTGAGGTGGCCATGCTTCAACCAAACAGCTCAAATCCCTGGCAGAAAATCATAAATTACATAGACTAGTGAAGTTAATGCAAGTCTACATCTGGTGTCCATTAAACACACTAGTCTAATGTGGGTCCCACTTATGTAGTTAGCTGTTCGCTCAGTTATAGAAGTGTCTCAACACATGCAAACCACCATTGAGCAGTGTTTTATAGACATCGCAACTTGTCCAGACCGGAGGAACATCAGGAAATTTGGAAGAAAACATTTATGTTGATTAGACAATTTCGTTTCTGGATTCATTTATTTTTTAAATTTAGTTCTCCTGACTTCAAACTAATTTGTAAGTTAAATTCAATAAAAAAAATAATTTTTGAAAATGTGTTTTGACATTAACTGTGCAATGGTGTTTCCTAAAATGAAACCATACTTTTCCATAGCAATTTACTCAAACCCCTGAAAATGAAATATCCATCATAATTCTGAGAATTTAAAGTTTGTGACGGAACTAAAAGCGTAAAATACCGACAGTTATCACAGTGTACTAATCAAATCTTCTATCTATTTCTACAAAGAAAATATTTTCATAATTATTTTTTTATTTGAAACCAATTAAGTAAGCAAGCCAATTGAATCCAAGTCTGAACTTCAACCAGAGAAAATCTATCAAAAACATTCTATATGCAGTTCTGTATATATAGAGAGATTTCATATCAGATCTTCTCAAATTAGCACCGGCACAGGTCACTGGAATGGGAACAGGAACCTGACCCAGCCGATAGACCCAGATAAACCACAAGCTCCATGTTATGTGGTACTGTGATAAACACCAATAAAAACCTATACAAATTGCCAGCTTCCTTAAAACACACACACACGCACACTCAAAACTAACCCATTACAATGCCAGTTGTGTGATAATCGCCATTCCCCATTTTTTCCTGTCTTTTTTTCAAACCAAAGCACCTTAAATCTAACCTGCATCTCCTTAGTCCAATCCTCATCCTACCTTTCCCCTCATTTCCTCACATTAATATCAATTTTGGGTTTGAAACTGACAATGAGGATTGATAACAAGTCTGCTGATGCTCTTAATCAAGATTTTTACAAAGTCTTTCTAGTTTGTGCCTTCATAAGATCTATGGGGTAACAAAATGTTCTACTTTTTGGAACCTTTATTTTTTTACTTCACCACATATTAGTGCAATATCATCAGACTTTACGTTCACCCTGACACATTAGGACAATGTTATCAGTCATGACCTTCACCTTTCTCCCACAAGTTGGGACAGTGTCATCGGTCTCGACCTTCCTCTCCACAAAACATTGAGACAGTGTCATCAGTCTCGACCATCACCTCTCCACAAAAAATTGAGACAGTGTCATCAGTCTCGACCATCACCTCTCCACAAAAAATTGAGACAGTGTCATCAGACTCGACCATCACCTCTCCACAAAAAATTGAGACAGTGTCATCAGTCTCGACCATCACCTCTCCACAAAAAATTGAGACAGTGTCATCAGACTCGACCATCACCTCTCCACAAAAAATTGAGACAGTGTCATCAGTCTCGACCATCACCTCTCCACAAAAAATTGAGACAGTGTCATCAGACTCGACCATCACCTCTCCACAAAAAATTGAGACAGTGTCATCAGTCTCGACCTTCACCTCTCCACAAAAAATTGAGACAGTGTCATCAGTCTCGACCTTCACCTCTCCACCACACATTGGGACAGTGTCATCAGGTTCGACCTTCACCTCTCCACCACACATTGGGACAGTGTCATCAGTCTCGACCTTCACCTCTCCACCACACATTAGGACAGTGTCATCAGTCTCGACCTTCACCTCTCCACCACACATTAGGACTTTGTCATCAGTCTCAACCTTCACCTCTCCACCACACATTGGGACAGTGTCATCAGTCTCGACCTTCACCTCTCCACCACACATTGGGACAGCGTCATCAGTCTCGACCTTCACCTCTCGACCACACATTAGGAGTGTCATCAGTCTCGACCATCACCTCTCAACCACACATTAGGACAGTGTCATCAGTCTCGACCATCACCTCTCAACCACACATTGGGACAGTATCATCAGTCTCGACCATCACCTCTCCACCACACATTAGGACAGTGTCATCAGTCTCGACCTTCACCTCTCCACCACACATTGGGACAGTGTCATCAGTCTGGACCTTCACCTCTCCACCACACATTAGGACAGTGTCATCAGTCTCGACCTTCACCTCTCCACCACACATTGGGACAGTGTCATCAGTCTCGACCTTCACCTCTCCACCACACATTAGGACAGTGTCATCAGTCTCGACCTTCACCTCTCAACCACACATTAGGACAGTGTCATCAGTCTCGACCTTCACCTCTCCACCACACATTAGGACAGTGTCATCAGTCTCGACCTTCACCTCTCCACCACACATTAGGACAGTGTCATCAGTCTCGACCTTCACCTCTCCACCACACATTAGGACAGTGTCATCAGTCTCGACCTTCACCTCTCCACCACACATTAGGACAGTGTCATCAGTCTCGACCTTCACCTCTCCACCACACATTAGGACAGTGTCATCAGTCTCGACCTTCACCTCTCCACCACACATTAGGACAGTGTCATCAGTCTCGACCTTCACCTCTCCACCACACATTGGGACAGTGTCATCAGTCTCGACCTTCACCTCTCCACCACACATTGGGACAGTGACATCAGTCTCGACCATCACCTCTCCACCACACATTGAGACAGTGTCATCAGTCTTTACCTTCACCTCTCCACCACACATTGGGACAGTGTCATCAGTCTCGACCTTCACCTCTTTACCACAAATTGGAACAGTGTAGTAAATCTTTGACTTCTCTTTATACAGATGAGGTAGAATATGTTAAGAGAAACTATGTCAAGCACACCACAGATTGGGACAGTGTTATTCCCTCCCTAGCACATTGGAACTATAACAGTATGGACCTCCACACATTGAGACAGTATATAATCAGTCTTGACCTTCACCTCTCCCCCACACATCGGGACAGTGTAATCTGGATGGACTTCCACCCCCTGGGGACTTGTTATCATTCAATTATACAATAAAGATAGGCAGGGCAGACCTAAGATAAGGGAGACCCTCCTGACCTCCTGTTACACCTCCAGAAATCACTGCCTGTTGCATGTGCTGGTCGGAAGCTTCCAAAATGTTGTATTTGTGGGGAGTCACCCACTATATATGACCTATGGCCTACATTCTGATCATCCTGATCATTGTGGAATTGGTAGTTGGTTGGATGGGTAGTGAAAGGTATGTCTCGAAGGGTATCTGTTCCTATAGCTTCTATATTCAGACAATACTTTATCTTATATATATATATAGTTACATATTGTTTTACAAAAAAGTCATCTGATGTGTTTTCATCTTATTAATTTTCAGAAATATAATTCTAGGTAACTGTATCTGGCTGTGAAATGTGATCATCAACAACAATCATTACCTAATCATAGAAAACATAATGCTTGGGGTTTATTTTTCGAATTGTTGTTTTGTCATTCAGCAAATCTCCATAGAGTATTAATATAATTTGACATAGTTAATAACATATCGTTGGAACCATAGAGTATTAATATAATTTGACATAGTTAATGGCATATCATTGGAACCATAGAGTATTTATATAATTTGACATAGTTAATTGCATATCATTGGAACCATAGAGTATTAATATAATTTGACATAGTTAATGGCATATCATTGGGACAGACTCTGCAGCATATTCCATTAAATTGTGAAAATACATTTCTTGTCACAGAACACAAAACAATCAGCAATTCAATATATTTCCTACATTTATCAGCACTTTAAAGCTTAATGACTTACATTATCTAATATCAGAACAGATTATAAAATTCCACTGTGTGTATTATGGTAAAAACACAATCAAGATCCAATTTTTTTACATCTTTTTAACAATCGACTTTCTTCAAATTATAATATTTTGTTGATCATTCCAGTTGGGGAAAAAACAGCTTACATTTTACATCAGAAAAGGCCTTATTTCCTAACAAAATGATGATAAGTCCAGTATAGAAAGATTTATGAAGGATTAGCTTGTTATAGTCGGCTAATGTTTTCCTTCAAAAAAAGGAAATAGCATTGTGATTGGACCATCCTGGTTGATAATGAACAGCCATGGTGTTCAAATATCTCTCAGATTTTCAAACCAGACCTGACAGTTTATGAATCTCCCTTGGATTGAAATTGCATCAGGCAACCTCTTCAGAAGGCTGTTAAATCTGCTCCGTGGTGTAGAATAGTGTTACATTATCGGAAAATTATCCCTTGCAATTTTTATTTCAATTTTCCATAAGCCATGCTCAGCAGAGCGTTAAGTAACATCCTGTGAATCGAAGTCGAAAATTTCCATTAAATGAGTCTCTCTGGAACTCTTCAGGGCGTGAAAGTAGGGTTTGATTACGTTGGTCCCCACAAATCAGACGCCCGAGTGTACATTTGTGCGCGACACAATTGCCGATGCTATTCATTTTGCAAAATATACAGGAATTTATTGCACATCTTGCCGCATCGATGTCAATGTCGTGAAATGGCATTGTGAAAAAGCATTCACTTGTTCAGCTCGTCAGTATTGGTGAAATAACTGGCACCTATCACTGCTTTTAACATCAAACAAGAGATATTAGAACACGATCTTCAACTCAATGAATCAAAAATCACGGCAGTTGTAGGGAAGGGACAAAGGAGAATGAATCTTCAGAAATAAAACATCCAGGGCGATAACATTCCTCAGAAAAAAAAGAATACAATTTCCATGCATTTTATTGAAAAAAGTATTTCTGTGTTTTGGAAGAGAAAATCAATATTCTGTCCATTATAAACAATTTAATCTTTTCGTCTTGGTCTGCTCTTCTCGTGTCTCAATGTACGAGATAAAACGTCTGATACCCTGCACGACAACTTGACAGCTTTCGTTTTTACGTAGCGGTATACATGTGTTCACAGCATTGTAGATGCCAAACACGCTCCATGTCGTAGGAGTCTGGTACAATGCGACTTTAGGGAGTCCTGACAAGTGAAGTAGTCTACCATCTTACGCAGCCCTCAACTGTCAAACTCTTGATCTCATTGGAGGAAGGATCTGGAGCTTGTGGAGCTGCACACAACTTGCACTTCCTGCACCAACACAGCACGAGGTCTCCTGCGTCATTAAGTGTGCACATGCAACTTGTTGCTTTATTTTCATGATGAGCTCCATTCCCTGATGACCTGCTTTTACACAGGAATGGATTTTCTAAACATCCTTTAATTATTGCCTGCAGCATTTATTACATTTTCAAGTGTTATCAACAGTAATTACAAAAAAAAAAATCTGAATTTGGAACAACACATATCATGGAAAACATCAAAAAGAATATAGATTACATAAAAAATCTTATAGATATTTCTAATGAACTGTATCTACTTTAAAACACTTAAGTTTTTAGAACATCCTGTATTTTTTCCTATAGAAATCCAAAGCAACAGCAGTGTCAGAATCCTATTAGCTGTTACTTTATTACCTAAAAACTCCGATCCGTGAACAGCATTAAAGATGTATGTGCATCCGATAAGATTTAATCGTTTTTCAGGACAATAAGAACGAAATGCAAGACTGAAAACATTCATTACATTGAGTAGGTGTTAGTCGTGATACAAAGATTAAAGGATTTGCATTTGTAACAAAATGGCAAGAAAAAAGAAGAGAGAGGCGAATCTTACGTAGAAAACGCCCAGAATGTGACAGGTTCTTGTCTAACGACTGCTATCAGTCCCAGAACACAACGGGTTTTAAGGATATCCACCCACCCCTTCAGATATAATATCCAATTCCGTATCAGTCAACGAGAGGCCGGCTGTAATTTATCAGGAAACCACTGGTAAGAATTGTATCAAGTTCTCCCCTTGATTCGTTTGCACAGCCGATTTGATTGCTCTTGAATTGATATACAATCGACTGGCATCGTGGTTTATCAAGAAATAATGATCGATAAGTAAATCCTTCAAGTCTGTCGAAGAGAGATAGCAATTTTACACGGACTAAAAACATAGTATAAACCAGACTTTAATTGCTAGGTAATCTTCCTGGGCTAGGGGAGACAAGTATGAATCAGAAACCAGCAGCATCAGGACACGTCCAGAATCAGGATATTATCTCTGTTCCGGATAGGAATACATTGAAAAATGTTGACTGAGGACCCTCTGGTCACAATATCTCCTTCCACAAATATTGACATATGCCAAGTCAGCAAATACAATGGAGATGTAAAATGTACATAGAAGCGTTTCGAGGGCTTTTGACTCTGTAAACGTCAGAACAGCAAACAGAATACTGATGTAAAATTTAGATAAAATGCTTTTCAAGAGCTTGACAGCGATTTGTAGGGCCAGCATCTACCAGCGTGGTTCTAATTGACAGAACAACACACCGCAATAACGACACAAAAGTGACCAGTATTTGCCGATAATAACACTAGCTGTATTGACTCAATCTCACAATAGCCCCACTGTAGCTCCGAAGGTATGAATAATTCAACTGTGATGGTACAATCATTAGTTCAGACTAAATCAACACACATTTTTGATTTTCAATTTCTACTGCAATTTGAGACAAAACAAACCAAGTTAAAGCCACACAAATTATAGCCATTCAAACGTTTCCATTGAACCAACACCATTATTGATTAAAATTCTACGTGATACACGGATTACATCCAAAAATTTCAAGTAAAGCAACAAAATATCAACACAGAAGTTAAGTTCTTTACATTATTCATAGAATTTAAACGGCTTATCGTTTATTTATTTTATATTTTAGTATGACTGTCACAATACAATTTGGTGTTTATATAATTACCTGACAGTTTTCACATTAATCGTAAATTGCTAGATTTTACACGATTTGTAGAATTTCAATCTTCATATCAAATACATGCATGAAATCAAGATGGATTATATTTTTAATAAGATTTCAACTTTTACCTGATTTTGTAACAGGCCACTTTTCATTAAAGCAATATGTATACCTTAAGTCATTTTATTTTGAGAGACAATGTCGCCTGAAGTAGCAGTGCAAGTATCTGACAATGTAACCAAGTAGCATTGGAAGTTTCTGACAATGTAGCCATTTAGCAATGCAACTATCTGACAATGTAGCCATTTGCAATGCAACTATCTGACAATGTAACCATTAAGCAATGCAACTATCTGACAATGTAGCCATTTAGCAATGCAACTATCTGACAATGTAGCCAAGAGACACTGAAGCTTAGTCAGTGGATGGAATAGGGTAGGATTGTTTAACCCTTTGTCTGGCAACTGTAGAAAAAAAGGCAGGTTTATTTAACCCCTTGTCTTGACAGTTGAAAGAAAATATGGGTGGGTTTATTTCACTTGTTCTCTTGTCAGTCAGTAGGATGATGGGGTTAATTATTGGTCAGCCAGCCTGCTTTTCAGTTGAAATACTTTCAGTGCAGAAAGTTCATGTAACCCTAATGTGGCCTAAATGGAGGAAGCTTTCATCAGTACACATACTTTGTACAATTTCACCGTTTTATCCCTGTTACAGATGGTCCCCCACTTATGAACAACGCCTCAGGTTTCACCCTCGAAGCATTTACATATCTGGGGATTCTAAACAATGTGGATGGTAGTTCCATCCCGCTGTATGGAAACAAGAATCTCTCCTTTACGCAAAGAAATTGTAAAACTTACCTGAAGTCCCCAAAACACTGCCTCCTTGATCCTATACAAAACCAAGATGATACAGAGCTGCAACGAAAAACAAAGCAGTGATAACATCAGAAAAATTACTGCAAGTACATAATGTTGGTTATAGTTTGTAGGTCAAATATCAATGGTTTCATCAAATCTATTTATTGGTAATAGCTGCAATGGTTTTGATGAAGCAATCAGCAATGGTCCAGTCAAGTTCGACATTCAAAGTTATGTCCTCGGAATGAATACAATTATAATGAGCTGACAACCTTGTATTTTTTTTAAAGAACATTGACCAATTCCTTAAGCTACCTCTAATTGCTTTTTATTTTAATTCATTTCACACACACACTTTCAACACTAAATTACATTTAAATACAATTGATAAAAATCGTTGGAGGGCTGCCAAAAATCTATAATATACAATCATTCTAAGACCCCCTTTAACAGGTTCAACACAAGTTTCCCTCAATACCAGAAGTTGAACCTGTACTATCAGCACACAATCGAGAGCTGGACATGGCACTATATATTCTACACCATAGACCATTAAAGTTTTACATTACAAATCTGATCTAATAAAAAGTTATAAACATTTTTGAACTTTGGGAGATAAGGCACTTGTGTTTCATTTACCATAAAAGCGATATATTAATTTTTTAAATGGAAAATAATGTTCCATATATATATAAATATTCATATAACACTTCAATTTGACAGCAAAATCAATAGATGAAATAAAGAGAAAAACAGAACTAGAAAATAAAACCTCAGATTTCCACAGTTTTATGCTTTTATCAATTAATTTGTTTCATTTCGACCGTATCTTAAGAATTGCTAATGAAAGCTAAAAGTTGACTATTTTCACAGACTGTAAATTCAACATTCTTCTATTTACACATTTCGACGCCAATTTTCAAGATACACCTGCCATGTTTTTAGCATTACATTAACATGAATATCTAGCATGCAGAAATATTTTGTCAAGAAGTTATCATAATTATATGCTTTCAAATTGACACAAAAAAAATCTCAATTAGGTACATTTGCAGTAACTGCCCTGGTCCAAGACGGTAAAGTCCAGCGCTTTTAAAGAAAACTAACATTTTCAAGACTTTATTTAAATTCTTAAATCTTCTAAAACCTATGTCACATTATTTTTGTATCTGCAGTGCTCTCAGAAGGACATGAACAAGATAAAGATTCCTGGTCATTAGGAACAAAAATACAAAATTAGGAGCAAATTACTTGGTAATCAATAAGGAACATGGTGTCTTGTTTCTCATTTTGTACTACACAAGCTAACATATGTTAATTGGGATCTGGAAACTCCACCAGGCAGGAAGCTTCTCCAGCCGGGAATAGCTCTGCCCTAGCTCTGGGGCAGCCGCACACCAAACAGGCATCCCAAAACATGTGCACTTTTAAAACCTAATCCAACATGACATTTGAGCCTGTCGCTGTTGCTCCTTTCCCAACACTGTTGCCAGATCGTGTTTGTAAAGGAATGCCTCGTCAGTCACCACGAAACATGTGCCATAACCTATGTTACATACACATGACCCATCTGTTCAGCTTTCTCTACAACCTTGTTTTTTTTTTAATATATGAAGCTTCGCTACAAATACCTTAGTTGTAGTCATCAAAAATCTCTTCAGTGCTTTTTAATCATCAGACACTTTTTCAAATAGATTTCGATTCTTTTCCGTGATTACCTCGACTCCTCAATATCCTCTGAACTCTTCCTACAAATGTATTTGTGATATTTTGACATTTTTTTTACATATGGCATCCATTATCCCTCCCTCTTTGGTTCTCTTCTGATTCTGTTAGAAGCGCCATCATTTCCCCTGATGTCATTCTGATTCTGTTAGAAGCGCCTTCATTTCCCCCGATGTCATTCTGATTCTGTTAGAAGAGCCTTCATTTCCCCCGATGTCATTCTGATTCTGTTAGAAGCGCCTTCATTTCCCCCGATGTCATTCTGATTCTGTTAGAAGCGCCTTCATTTCCCCCGATGTCATTCATGCTTTTAATTATAACAGCCACGTAAATGTTGTACCGATTCATTTTCTTATTTGAACTTTATTTCACTTCAATTATAATCTTCTTCATCTACTTATGTTTTTCTCCTGACATATTGCTATAATTGTACCTTTAATGCCTCCATGTTTTCTTCATGTAAATCAATCTTTGTAACCTGAAAATTAACAAGAGGCCCATGGGCCTAAACGGTCACCTGAGTCTACAGTATTTATTTTTGTTGTTGAAATATGTACCAATTTGAGTAAAAAATAGTATAATGTTAACTTAACTTTGTCAGGACCATAAGCTGATCATTCCTAGACCAATTTTAAGTGAGATCGGCCTATTAGAACTTAGTAGCAAAATAGCGGCCATGGCAGCCAAATTGTATTTCTGATTGACCCCAAAAATAACAACACTTTGTCAGGACAATGATTCGATCATTCCTACAAAGTTTCAGTTCAATTGGCCAAGTAGAACTTTACTTTAAGTTTGAAATAGTTTTTCAAAATGGCAGCCGTGGTGGCCATATTGGATTACTGAACGACCCGAAAAATAACAACACTTTGTCAGGACCATGAGGCGATCATTCCTACCAACTTTCAGTTCAATCGGCCCAGCAGAACTTGATTTTAAGTTTGAAATGTAAAATGTTAACGGACGACGGACGACGGACGACGACGGACGAAAACGGATAGCAATAGGTCACTGGAGCGAAAGCTCAGGTGACCTAAAAACCTTTCTAATCTTAACATTCTTCCATTTAAAATCTTTAAAATCTGAAAATCTTGCTATTCAGAACCTTTAAGGTATGGAAATTTCCTTATCTGAACCTTTTGTTACCAGAAACTTAAACTATATGGACATCATGCTATTAAAAGTCTTATATTCTTGATATTCTGCTACCAATACTTCCTCACCAAGACTAGCTTGTTATTAAAACCTTTATAATCTGAACACTTTTCAATCTGAAACCTCTAAAAATCTTAACACAATCTTTCTTTCTACAACCTGTATAATCTGAAAACTTTTCTATCCAAACCTTCCTTAACTGAACATCTTGTAATGGAAAACCCTATAATCTCGGCATCTTACAACTTAAATCATTCACCCCTGCAATTTTAAACTGGAATTGCCTAGTCTTTGATTTGGCAAGGTTCAAATGCGACTTTAGGGGCGAAATGTTTAAACTTTTTGTAAAATTAACATCATTCCATCTAAAGCCCTCTGAAACATGTGTGTTTTTTACTTCTGGAAGCATACTGATACTGTTTACGTCTCTGCACATATTGATGACTAGTGTCAGGAAACTGGCAGGATTTGCATTTCCAATTCGTCTTAATCTGTTAGGAAATTGTATTCTGCCCAACATTCCCACCAGTCCATGTCATTCTAGCACTTCCCATGAACGTGGACAAAAAATCAATTAAACTTTCCAAAGATTATCAACAAAGAGTAAAAAGAAATAAGGAAGACACAACAAGAATTATCTCCATAGAAACAAAGGTAATTTGTCCAAAATGACTTTCCTCCGACTGTTTTTTTACGTAGGATCACTAATCAGTCATCAGCAATTTGTTTCACTTCCCCAAGGTTCTAATTCATTTCTTGGATACATGCCGCAGCACTCATCACAAAATGATCTACCATACTGACACTAGCCTCCCTAACAGATGATGCGCATCTTATAAATACCTTGAAGCTAGCCTTAAAAAAAACTTTTCATATGGCCACTAGTCAGCTACTGGAGGGTCTGCAGCTAAATTACATCACGGAACAAAAGCCGAAAAACAATGCAGGCCAATTTGTCGAGGAATAAATTGATGTCCTCCATCATCTAGCAGTAATTACAGTTCTCATAAAGCGTCAGAATGAAACAAACAATTCGGAGTCGGCTCCCAATTAAGACAATTAAAGAAGAATGGCTGTTGCAATGACCTTGGAGATGAAAATTAAAGGTTTCAGTAATTGTTTTTTCTTTAAGAACCAGTGCCTAAGAACCCACCACAGTTATGTAATGGTTTTGTATAGGAAGGTATTTCCATACTAAATCTGTACTAGTGTTTCATGTCATTTTGACAGAAATGTCTTTCTTGTTGTGATCAACCTTGCCAACAAAAGAACATTAACATTAACTACTCATCAGGTTGTACAAATATTCAATCGTTGGGCTGCCTCCAAACACCAAAACAACTGGCAAGAATACAATGCTAACATGATTCTAAGTATATAAAGCAGACTGACATAGTGATTTGTTTAATTGTAAAACAGTGTGTGTGATACTATGACATTATTGATGGAATATATAAAAACAAATTTTATAATTCATAAGTCTCAAAAGATTTCTTTTCAGAAAAAATAATAATTAAAAGCATCACGACCAAACAATAACATTTACATTCTCACAAATACTTTTTTGAGATTTTTTTTTTGAGATTTTATATCATCATTAGGAAATAGAATTTTCTGTAGACAAGCACTAAATCACATTTTGAAACTGAACTTTGTTTAAGGCAAAGGGTACCACTGCATAACTTCTATTCATGAAGAAGAGTTCCACTTTAAACCTGTCTTTATGCCTGGAGTATTTATAGAATTTGTAGAATATAAGGCATATAAAAGGAACTAGTTATAGCTCAAAGTTACTTCCCTTAGCAAGATACTCATCTTTCCTTTTAATACATTGCCATTCTAATTCCAGGTAAGCAACACTGGTTAAGTGTATAGGACTGCTGGTGCATGGTTCTGAAGGTTGTTACCTGGAAATCAGGTTTTTCATTCCTAATTTTGTTTCGTTTTCAATTTTTTCTTTGATTTATTTTTCTCAAAAACTCAAACTAAACACAAATATTAATATCCTGTAAAGCATCACAAGATGTGTTTATATGTTTGAAATGCATCTGCAGAAAATGACCTAAACAAATATTTTATAACAATGCCATTTACTTTATAATCTCATTTTTCTTCCATAATGTTTTAGGAGATTCCTGATTTTCATCCTCATGTTTGGTTTGCTCAAATTCAATATT